AAAGACAGTTGGGACCCCCGAGAAGGTATTACATTAAAATACAAAAGAACATTTGGGGCCCCGAGAAGGTTTCACATTAAAAAAAAAACATTTGGGGCCCCCGAGAAGGTTTCACATTTTTAAAAAATACAGTTGGAAGCCCCGAGAAGGTTTCACACTTTCAAAAAAGACAATTAGGACCCCCTAGGTTTCACATTAAAAAAAAAAGACAGTTGGGACCTCCGAGAAGGTTTCACATTAAAAAAAAACAGTTGGAAGCCCCGAGAAGGTTTAACATTAAAAACAAAGGACAATTGGGGCCCCAGAGAAGGTTTCACATTTTCAAAAAAGACAGTTGGGACCCCCGAGAAGGTATTACATTTTCAAAAAAGACAGTTTTGGGACCCCCGAGAAGGTTTCACATTAAAAACAAAGGACAATTGGGGCCCCCGAGAAGGTTTCGCATTTTCAAAAAAGACAGTTGGGACTCCCGAGGTTTCACATTAAAAAAAAAGGACAGTTAGGACCTCCGAGGTTTCACATTAAAAAAAAGAACATTTGGGCCCCCGAGAAGGTTTCACATTTTTAAAAAATACAGTTGGAAGCCCCGAGAAGGTTTCACACTTTCAAAAAAGACAATTAGGACCCCCTAGGTTTCACATTAAAAAAAAAGACAGTTGGGACCTCCGAGAAGGTTTCACATTAAAAAAAAAACAGTTGGAAGCCCCGAGAAGGTTTAACATTAAAAACAAAGGACAATTGGGGCCCCAGAGAAGGTTTCACATTTTCAAAAAAGACAGTTGGGACCCCCGAGAAGGTATTACATTTTCAAAAAAGACAGTTTTGGGACCCCCGAGAAGGTTTCACATTAAAAACAAAGGACAATTGGGGCCCCCGAGAAGGTTTCGCATTTTCAAAAAAGACAGTTGGGACTCCCGAGGTTTCACATTAAAAAAAAAGGACAGTTAGGACCTCCGAGGTTTCACATTAAAAAAAAGAACATTTGGGCCCCCGAGAAGGTTTCACATTTTTAAAAAATACAGTTGGAAGCCCCGAGAAGGTTTCACATTTTCAAAAAAGACAATTAGGACCCCCTAGGTTTCACATTAAAAAAAAAGACAGTTGGGACCTCCGAGAAAGTTTCACATTTAAAAAAAAAACCAGTTGGAAGCCCCGAGAAGGTTTAACATTAAAAACAAAGGACAATTGGGGCCCCAGAGAAGGTTTCACATTTTCAAAAAAGACAGTTGGGACCCCCGAGAAGATACTATATTAAAAAACAAAAGAACATTTGGGGCCCCGAGAAGGTTTCACATTAAAAAAAAACATTTGGGGCCCCCGAGATGGTTTCACATTTTCAAAAAAGACAGTTGGGACCCCCGAGAAGGTTTCACATTAAAAACAAAGGACAATTGGGACCCCCGAGAAGGTATTACATTTTCAAAAAAGACAGTTTTGGGACCCCCGAGAAGGTTTCACATTAAAAACAAAGGACAATTGGGGCCCCCGAGAAGGTTTCGCATTTTCAAAAAAGACAGTTGGGACTCCGAGGTTTCACATTAAAAAAAAAGGACAGTTAGGACCTCCGAGGTTTCACATTAAAAAAAAAGAACATTTGGGCCCCCGAGAAGGTTTCACATTTTCAAAAAAGACAATTAGGACCCCCTAGGTTTCACATTAAAAAAAAAGACAGTTGGGACCTCCGAGAAGGTTTCACATTTTTAAATAATACAGTTGGAAGCCCCGAGAAGGTTTAACAAAAGGACAATTGGGGCCCCAGAGAAAGTTTCATATTTTCAAAAAAGACAGTTGGGACCCCCGAGAAGGTATTACAGTAAAAAACAAAACAACATTTGGGGCCCCGAGAAGGTTTCACATTAAAAAAAAACATTTGGGGCCCCCGAGAAGTTTCACATTTTCAAAAAAGACAGTTGGGACCCCCGAGAAGGTTTCACATTTTAAAAAAAGACAGTTGAGACCCCGGAGAAGGTTTCACATAAAAAAAATTCCCCCCTCCCCCCCCCCCCAGGTTTCAGATTTAAAAAAATACAGTTGCAAGCCCCGAGAAGGTTTCACATTAAAAAAAACATTCCCCTCCCCTCGAGGTTTCAGATTTAAAAAAAATACAGTTGGAAGCCCCGAGAAGGTTTTACATTAAAAAAAAGAACATTTGAGACCCCCGAGAAGTTTCACATTTTTAAAAAATACAGTTGGAAGCCCGAGAACGTTTCACATTAAAAAAAAAAGGACAATTGGGGCCCTCGAGAAGGTTTCACATTTTTAAATAATACAGTTGGAAGCCCCGAGAAGGTTTAACAAAAGGACAATTGGGGCCCCAGAGAAAGTTTCATATTTTCAAAAAAGACAGTTGGGACCCCCGAGAAGGTATTACAGTAAAAAACAAAACAACATTTGGGGCCCCGAGAAGGTTTCACATTAAAAAAAAACATTTGGGGCCCCCGAGAAGTTTCACATTTTCAAAAAAGACAGTTGGGACCCCCGAGAAGGTTTCACATTTTAAAAAAAGACAGTTGAGACCCCGGAGAAGGTTTCACATAAAAAAAATTCCCCCCTCCCCCCCCCCCAGGTTTCAGATTTAAAAAAATACAGTTGCAAGCCCCGAGAAGGTTTCACATTAAAAAAAACATTCCCCTCCCCTCGAGGTTTCAGATTTAAAAAAAATACAGTTGGAAGCCCCGAGAAGGTTTTACATTAAAAAAAAGAACATTTGAGACCCCCGAGAAGTTTCACATTTTTAAAAAATACAGTTGGAAGCCCGAGAACGTTTCACATTAAAAAAAAAAGGACAATTGGGGCCCTCGAGAAGGTTTCACATTTTCAAAAAAGACAGTGAAGACCCCCGAGAAAACGCTTCACATTAAAAAAAAAACATTTGAGAAGGTTTCACATAAAAAAAACATTTGGGTCCCCCGAGAAGGTTTCACATTGTTAAAAAAGGTAGTTGAGGCCCCCGAGGTTTCATAATAAAAAAAAAACATTTGGGGCATCCGAGGTTTTATATTCCTAAAAAGAGACCATTGGGACCCTCGAGAGGATTTCACAATCTTAAAGAAGACATTTGGCGCCCCCGAGAAAGTTTCACATTTTATAAAAGACCACGAAGAAGGTTTCACATTCTTAAAAAATTGGTCGAAATTTTTTTGACAAAACTTCCCTCGCTCCTGAAACAAATCCTGCTTTTTTGAACAATTATAAAATTTGAAAAGTGCGATCGATAGAAAATATATTTAACGAGAAAATTAACTGTAATTAACTTCGAATATTTATGTTTATACTTCGAAAGAATTCGAATTATTTGCGGTGTGATATCACTGTAATTTTCTAGTAAATGGGGTGATCCATTCTTGATTTGCTAAAAAAAAAGATCTAACCAGGACGTGAATCAGATTCTATTTCGACAAAACTTCCCTGGCTCCTGAAACAAATCCTGCTTTTTTGAACAATTATAAAATTTGAAAAGTGCGATCGACAGAAAATATATTTAACGAGAAAATTAACTCCAATTAACTTCGAATATTTATGTTTATACTTCGAAAGAATTCGAATTATTTGCGGTGTGATATTACTGTAATTTTCGAGTAAATGGGGTGAACCATTCTTGATTTACTAAAAAAAAAAGATCTAACCAGGACGTTAATCAGATTCGAACCGCACTAGCGCATACCTTATTCGAACACTTAGTTGGCGCTAGCGCTTAATCATCTACATGAGATTCCTAACGTACATACAAAATTTGACAACAATCGGTCCGATAGTTTCGGAGATTGCGTGTCTAATAAAAATGGATACAGACACCAGACAGACAAACAGACAGACGGACGGAAACGGGAAACCACTTTTTTCGTACTCTAGAGGTCATAAAAAGTCGAGAAAACATAAAAGTGGCCGATGATCTCGATTACTATATGTACTTCTTTAGCTTACGTTCGGAAAGTAAAAATTGGTCGAAAGTTGTTTCGACAGAGCTTCCCTCGCTCCAGAAGTACAATGAAACATATCCAGCATTTTCGAGTTGACTTTTTTCTTTACACAATTTTGTGATCAGTATTTTTGCAAGGACACGTATATCAACTTGGATTGGTGCAATGTAATACTAAAAATAGCAGTATTGTATTCCCGAGAATTTCTGGGAAAATGGAGTGAGCCGCTCCTGATTTAATCAATGAAATAAATTGACTCATTCATTATTATTTTTGAGCCACCTATATAACCAAATCTAAGAAATATGAATGCAATGGTAAATTGGGTAGAATTTATTCGGCAAAATTTTGAGATGACGTCATCAATATTTTGAAGGGGTGCTTACGCTCACGAAGTAAAAATTCTAAAATTCAAAATTTTTTGTAAATTTTCAAAATTGTCGCCTTTATTAATCACTCAAAACCACAGCCGCTGATAAAAAGATGAATTTATACTCGGTTGAGACGACAAACCAACGGAAACGGAAGACCTGTTTCTGCATATTCTAGAAGCTATGAAACATCGACACAACTTGTTGACCAGAAAAGTGACTAAACAAACGCACATAAATAATAGTTTGGTGACCTTTAACCTCAGTGTCCGGTCACGAATCCTTCGTAAACCTCATGATTTCAACCATGACGAACGGCTGGAAAATAACGCTAAAAACAATAGCAAAAAGGAACATTGACCTTTAAACTGTCTGCGTTATACATGATTTAACATATACTGGCGCAACCAAGTACTTTCACCAAAAATAAATGAACAAATAAATTTTTATAAATTTTATTTAAAGACGTTTCGGCTGCGTTGCTTATCAGGACACTACACAATCAGACCCTCCACCACGTCCTGTCGGTACCACAACAAAGAACTTAAATTTTCTTGTCTACACCGTTCCGAGTGCTTCGGTCCAAAACCAAATGACTCCATCCTCAGGATTTTTTTCATAAATAATTAGCGAAAATTATGTATTCATGAGCTACTTCCACCTTCTTCACACGTACGACTTTCAAAGACTTGTAACCTTCTTACTATGCACCCACCAATCAGACCGTGAAAGTTCTCAAATTCGCAAAAAAAGCTCAAAACTTCTCAAAATAACTGGGAACAGCAGGTTAGAGAGGGACCAAGGAATTAAGAGTCTCGTTCCAAAGCCTGAAATGACTCATAAAATCAGGCTGTGACAAAGTTTTTGAAATTGAAACCTTGTAAGTGCTGGTATTAGAGAAAGTGTTGCGAAAGTAGCGCACCGTGCGACAAGGGAAGTTATCAATCCGAGCCCCCTTCTCTCTCTTAACTCTTTAACAGCCCAATTAGCGCAACCATAAACCAGTCAAGCACCCATCAATCATTTTAACGATTTAATTTTTCGCTCAACTTTACATAGTCATTTTATTTTAAACAAAAACAACCTTGACTTTTATCGCCCCTGATAGGCCCGCACCACCGTCTTGCCCTCATCGGCCTCTCATTACGAATTCACAAAAAACCTGACCCAGATCCATTTCGAAACCCCACAAATCCATACCGGATGACATCTGTCAAACCACCCCGGCTGACTCGATGCCACCCAATTCGTTTCTTGGCACCGCTCCAGCCCATGTCTCGCACATCCCGCGAACGCAAACAAAGCGCAATTTATTCTAGAACGATAATAAATAATTGCGCAAACAACGGGCGACCCCGCAAGGGCAAGTAGCGACCCGAACCCGAAATTGGTCAGGTTGGCCATTTTAGCGAAACGTCAAACAAGGAAAAGAAAGTCCGACTACTTACAGCTGTTGCCAACTGGTCATTTTGTACTAGAGGCGCGAGTTTGTCCTTCTTCTCACTCGAGATCGGCTTCTTGAGGATAGTCATCGCGACGGCGAATTTATAACACCCAAAATTTCAACAAAACACGTAATTGATCGATTTCGTCTGCACTTCGTCAAAACAAACACGGGAGTCAATGCGCACGTCGCAGCACGCTTGATCGGGAGACAAAAGAGGGGGACCAATGAAACACGAGAGCGAAGTTGCAAGTTGCAAATTGACAAGTGACAAGTGGCCGCCTAACCTCAAACTATTAAAAAAAAAACAGGTAAAAAAAATCATGAACCCGACAACCCTAATATAAACATTAGGACATACTAATTCATCTTATTAGTAGCTTGACTAATGGGTAAGTATTCCAGTGACTCAGACAGCGAGAAGCGCAAGAGCTACAAGAGTCGCAAGCGCAGGTAAGAACAAACAGTTTCGAAATTCGTGTTTTCTCACCCCCCGAAACCCAGATCGAGTTCGTCGAGCTCCTCCGACTCCCGGAAGAAGCACAAGCGCAAGGATAGGAGCCGCAGTCGCGACAGATACTCCAGATCCAGGTTCGAACCAGCCAAAGTCACCACTTCGACCACAGTTTTGTGTTTTAGGCGCTCGCACAGCAGTAAGTCGCGTCGGAGGTCCCGCTCGCGCTTCAGAGAGCGTCATCGCAGGTCCAGGTCGCGGTCGAAATACAGGCGTTCCAGATCGCGCTCCTACATCCGGGAGTACACGAGTAGCAAGAGGAGGCGCTCGAGCTCGAGTTCGAGTGAGTCGCTGAAGCACGATGGTAACTTGGAGGACGTGAGGAGCGAGGTGAAAAGGTCGCCTGAGATGTCGAAGGTCGACGCGAAGGTTCTCAGCGCCATTAATGAGGAGGGGTTCGCCCCCAAGGCGTTCACGTCGAGTAAGAATAAGAAGATGATGGAAAATATTGTGATTGATTTGAAGAAGCAGACTATTAAAGTGCCGGAGGTGGAGCCAGTGGAGCCGGATAGTATTTTTCACCATAATGTAGGTTTTGGGGTTGAGTTGGGGTGTTTTTGATGGTTGGCTTTTAGTTGTTTTTGAATGAGGAGGCGAGGATGGAGAAGTGGATTAAGGAGTTGTATGGATACAGGCAGAGGGCGCTGCAGCAAGGGCTGAAAGCGGGGGAGAAATGAAGACTGTGATTTCAACTTAGAACCATGAAGTGTAGAGTAGCAGGGTGTTTCATAATAAAAAAAAATGGGTGTTTCTTAAGTAAATAAAAAAAAATCGCTTTTTTTTTTCGTTGGGAAAATTAATCAAACTGTTTGAAAATACAGCAAAAAACTGCAAAATCAAACTCAATTCAAGGGTTTTTTCAAATGAGTGTTTTGAAGAGTTTAGAACTTTTGGGTGTAGTTCTTCAGTAAAAAAACAATTTTCTTATATCACAGTAGGTTTCAGTTGATAAATGGTTAATTTCGTGTTTTCTCTACGTTTTCGTCTGTCTATCCATCATTTAAAAATAGAACACCATCATGGACCGTCAGATTCTTTAAAAAAGAAAATTCCCGGGGCACCGAAAAATACAGCTCCAATTTTTTTTGAAGATCATTCTAGGAACCTCTAAAATTCTTTCAAATTCTTTTAAAAACAAAACAAGTAATTCAGACTAAAAAAAACGAAATACCTGGAAACTCTAAAAGTCGTTCAAGTTCTTTTAAAAACGAAAAACACTAGGAAGTCCCAAGTTTCTTTCAAATATTTTCAAAAATAGAGCACCGGAAAGGCGTCAGATTCTTTCAATTTCTTTTTAAAACAACAAACTAGGGATATCCAAAATGCTTTGAAAACGAGAACACCAGGAATCGTGAAAGATTCTTCCAAACGTTTTTTTTTTTTTTAAGATAAAAAAATACTTGGGGCCTCCGAGACTCTTTCAAATGCTCCAAAAACAGAACACCAGGAACCCCTAGAGTTCTTCCAAATTCTTTTAAAACAAAAATCACTAGGGGCCTGCGTGATTCTTTCAAATTCTTCTAAAACAAAAAACACGAAGGGGCCTCAAAATTTTTTCAAATGCTTCCAAAAACAGAACACCATCAGAAACCCCAAAAATTCTTTTAAAACCAAAAACACTGGAGGCCTCCGAGATTCTATCAAAAACAGAACATCAGGAACCCCTAAGATTCTTTCAAATTATTTTAAAACAAAAACCACTAGAAGCTTCTGAGATTCTTTCAAATGCTGCGAAAAACAAAACACCAGGAACCCCAAAGAATTTTTCAAATTCTTTTTAAAACAAAAAAAAAACCAATGGGCCCCCAAGTTTGTTTTAAATATTTCCAAAAATAGGATTCCGGGAAACAAAAACTAGGGATCTCCAAAATTCTTTCAAAAAGAGAATACCAGGAACCCCTTAGTTTCTTTTAAATTCTTTTTAGATCAAAAAATTAGGGACTTTCAAAATTCTTTCAAAAACAACACCAGGAATGCCCAGACACTCTTTCAAACTCTTTTTAAAATAAAACATTCTTGGGACCTCAAAGATTCTTTCAAATGCGTCTAGAAACAAAAACCAAACATTTTTTTAAACAAAAAAAAGCACTAGAAGCACTCTGTCAAATTCTTTTAAAACAAAAAACACTGAGGGTTCCGAGATTCTTTCAAATGTTTTCAAAAACAGAACACTAGGAATCGTGAAAGATTCTTCCAAACTTTCTTTTTTTAAAAAAAAACACTTGGGGTTTCTGAGACTCTTTCAAATGCTCCAAAAACAGAACACTAGGTACCTCTGAGATTCTATCAAAAAGAACACCAGGAACCTCTAAGATTCTTTCAAATAAAACACCGGGAAACAAAAAACTAGGGATCTTCAAAATTCTTTCAAAAACAACACCAGGAATCCCCAGAGACTCTTTCAAACTCTTTTTAAAACAAAATGCACTTGGGACCTCCGAGATTCTTTCAAATGCTTCCAGAAACAAAACACCAGGAACTCCAAAGGTTCTTTCAAATTCTTTTTAAAACAAAAAAAACACTAGTGGCTTCCAAGATTCTTTCAAAAACAGAACCCCCGGAACCACGAACATTCTGTCAAATTCTTGTAAAACAAAAAACACCGAGGCTTCCGAGATTCTTTGAAATGCTTTCAAAAATAGAACACTATAGAAGCCGCTAAGATTCTTTCAAAGCGAGGGCCCGCAAGTTTTTTTCAGATGCTTCCAAAAATCAGAACACCATCAGAAAGTCCTGAAACCATTTCAAATTCTTTTAATACTAAAAGCACTAGAGGCCCCTGAGATTCTGTCAAAAATAGAACATCAAGAACCCCTAAGATTCTTTCAAATTCTTTTAAAACAAAAAAACTTGGGGCCCCGAGATTCTTTCAAATTCTTCAAAAACTAGAACACTAGAAACCTCTAAGCTTCATTCAAATTCTTTTAAAGCAAAAACACTAGGAGCCTCCGAAATTCTTTCAAATGTTTCCAAAAACAGAGCATGATCAGAAACCCGTAAAATTCTTTCAAATTCTTTTAAAACCAAAAATACTAGGAGTCTCCTAGATGCTTTCAAATGCTTCTAAAAAAATGACACCAAAAATTCCCAAAGATTCTTTCAAACTCTTTTTAAAATAAAAAGATTTGGAGCTTACGTGATTTTTTCAAATGATCCAAAAACAGAACATCGGGATTCTTTCAGATTCTTTTAAAACAAAAGCCATTAAAGGCCTTCGAGATTTTTTCAAATGCTTCCAAAAACAAAACACCGGGAACCCCACGATTCTTTCAAATTCTGTTTAAACAAAAAAAAACCACTAGGGGCTTCCAAGATTCTTTCAAAAACAGAACACCAGGAAAAACTAACATTCTGTCAAATTCTTTTAAAACAAAAAACCCTGAGGCTTCCGAAATTCTTCCAAATGTTTTCAAAAATAGAACACTATAGGAACCGCCAAGATTCTTTCAAATTCTTTTAAAACAAAAAGGACTAGGGACTTCTGAGATTTTTTTCAAATGCTTCCAAAAGAAGAACACCATCAGAAACCCCTAAAATTCTTTCAAATTTTTTTAAAACCAAAAACACCGTAGGTCTCCGAGATTCTGTCAAAAACAAAACATAAGGAACCCCTTGGATTCTTTCAAATTCTTTTAAAACAAAAGCCGCTAGGGGCCTCCGAGATTCCTTCAAATGCTTACAAAAACAAAACACTAGGAACCCCAAAGATTCTTTCAAATTCTATTTAAAACAAAAGAACCCTAGGGACTGCCAAGATTCTTTCAAAAACAGAAGCCCAGAAACGACTAACATTCTATCAAATTCTTTTAAAATAAAAAACACTAGGGCTTCCGAAATTATTTCAAATGTTTTCAAAAATAGCACATTAGGAGTCGCTAGGATTCTTTCAAAACCTTTTAAACAAAAAGCACTAGGGGTTTCTGAGATTCTTTCAAATGCTTCCAAAAACAGGACAATAGATACCTCTGAGATTCTTTCAAATTTTTTTAAAACCACTAGAGACCTCCGAGATTCTGTCAAAAACAGAACATCAGGAACCCCTAAGATTCTTTCAAATTCTTTTAAATCAAAAAACACGAAGAGCACGCAAGATTTTTTCAAATGCTTCCAAAAGAAGAACACCATCAGAAATCCTTAAAATTCTTTTAAAACCAAAGACACTATAGGTCTCAGAGATTCTGTCAAAAACAAAACATCAGGAACCCCTTGGATTCTTTCAAATTCTTTTAAAACAAAAGCCGCTAGGGGCCTCCGAGATTCTTTCAAATGCTTCCAAAAACAAAACACTAGGAAGCCCAAAGATTCTTTAAAATTCTATTTAAAACAAAAGAACGCTAGGGGCTGCCAAGATTCTTTCAAAAACAGAACCCCAGGAACCACTAACATTCTATCAAATTCTTTTAAAATAAAAAACACTAGGGCTTCCGAAATTATTTCAAATGTTTTCAAAAACAGCACACTAGGAGCCGCTAGGATTCTTTCAAAATCTTTTAAACAAAAAGCACTAAGGGTTTCTGAGATTCTTTCAAATGCTTCCAAAAACAGAACACTAGGTACCTCTGAGATTCTTTCAAATTCTTTTAAAACCACTAGAGACCTCCGAGATTCTTTCAAATTCTTTTAAAACCACTAGAGACCTCCGAGATTCCGTCAAAAACAGAACATCAGCAACCTCTAAGATTCTTTTAAAACAAAAACACTAGAGGCCTTAGAGATTCTTTCACTTCTTTTAAAACCAAAAATACTAGGGGCCTCCAGATTCTTTCAAAAACGCAACATAAGAAACCCTAAGATTCTTTCAAATTATTTTAAAATAAAATCACTTGGGGCCTCCGAGATTCTTTCAAATGCTTCTAAAAACAGAATATGATCAGAAACCCCTAAAAGTCCTTAAAATTTGTTTAAAACCAAAAACCCTAAGGGCCTCCGGGATTCTTTCAAAAATAAAACACCAAGCAGCCTTAAGATTATTTCAAAACAAAAATCACTAGGAGCCTTCGAGATTCTTTCAAATGCTTCCAAAAACAAAACACCAGAAACCCCAAAGAATCTTTCAAATTCTTTTTAAAACAAAAAAAAAACCTATAGGGCCCCAAGTTTCTTTCAAATATTTTCAAAAACAGAACACTGGGAAACAAAAACTAGGGATCTCCAAAATTCTTTCAAAAACAGAACACCGGGAAGTCTCGAAGATTCTTTCAAATTCTTTTAAAACCAAAACACTAGAGGCCTTAGAGATTCTTTCAATTCTTTTAGAACCAAAAATACTAGGAACCTCCAGATTCTTTCAAAAGTGCAACATAAGAAACCCCTAAGATTCTTTCAAATTATTTTAAAATAAAATCACTAGGGGCCTCCGAGATTCTTTCAAATGCTTCTAAAAACACAGTATGATCAGAAACCCCTAAAGGTCCTTAAACTTTTTTTAAAACCAAAAACCCTAGGGGCCTCCGGGATTCTTTCAAAAACAAAACACCAAATACCCCTAGGATTATTTCAAAACAAAAATCACTAGGAGCCTCCGAGATTCTTTCAAATTCTTTTAAAACAAAAACACTAGAGGCCTTAGAGATTCTTTCAATTCTTTTAAAACCAAAAATACTAGGGACCTCCAGATTCCTTCAAAAATGCAACATAAGAAACCCCTAAGAATCTTTCAAATTATTTTAAAATAAAATCACTACTGGCCTCCGAGATTCTTTCAAATGCTTCTAAAAACAGAATATGATCAGAAACCCCTAAAAGTC